GTGGGAAATTAACGTCTCCTACCCCCAACCCTGCAGGAGACGGGACCTCCATTTATTCGTCCCTATCCGAGAAGACTAGAATATCTAACCATTTCTTGATGTTATAGAAAGGTAGCAAATTCTTCTCAATTATTTTAAGACCTTGAGTGTTGGTCCGGCCGGGGCTCGAACCCTCGACCTCCCGCACAACAGTCCAACGCTCTATCCATTGAGCTAACCGGGAGGCGGTTAAAGGACAATAATTGTGCTCGTTACAACATCCCCACATCGAATAAAACCTGTCCTTCCACCAAACATCAAACATTACCATAAAAAAGCTCTTCAAATGGTTAAACGAACAACAAAAGTACGCAGAAAATGTCCACGTCAGTTTTCAATGCTGCCCACTCCAAAGGAGAAAAAAAATATATATATACTACTTTAAAAATAAAAGGGAAACCGTTTAACCATTGAGACTACTTAAGGTTTCAGAACTCTCCTCCGTCTCTCTCTTCAAAATGCACTGCAAATGGTTAAACGGCTTCTATTTTATTCATTTGGGGTGGGTGGCATAGCAGTTGTGAAAAATCCCTTTCGTTTAAATTTCAAATTACAATTTCTTTTTTCCTCTTCCCCCTTTATATTCGTTATGAATTCGAAAATCTCTTTCGTTTAATTTCAAATTACAATTTTTCTTTTACTCTGCCCCCTTTGTATTCATTTTGAATGCGCGCGTGATTTCATAAATTAGCCAATCACGTAAAAAACTCCAAACTTGACATTGAAAACTGACGTAGACATTTTTCGCGTAATTTTGTTGTTCTTTTACGGTGTCGTTTTACAGTTTTGTCCGCGCAAATTTGTTACCCCCTTGCTTGGAATTTTAAGAAGTTTCGGAGTTTTTATTTTGGCCAACTGTTATGGTTCAATCAACAAAATCAATACGTATTTTCTACGGAGTTTGGACTCAAGCCTCTTTTTTCGTAAAAATACTCATAAACGGCAAGGTCTTAATGGCAGTGGTTTACCGCCGGTAACTGGCTTTAGCCACTTTCACTCCCGAGATCTCTTTAGTAATTCTCCATACTGTCTGCCACACAATTCTTATGATACTAAGTTTGGAGAATTTAGTATTGGATCAACTACTGATCCCCTAATTGATATTTTTCTTTATTCTCATCACTTGTCTGCGTGGTATTGTGTTGATACTGTAAGGAGAAATTCTGTCTTGATCAATCATGGGAGTTACAGGGTTAATAAAACCCCTGTACAGTAATGGTTTAATTAGACAGACGAACACGATTATGTGTAATAATTATTCCACATAGATGATCATCGCTTACCATTTTGTGGCGAGGATGTAAAATATCTAAAGCTGTTCTTCCAGCAAGTAAAAAGGTAGTCGTATGCTGGAAGAAAAGGAAAACAGTCATCTATTTGATGTAATAACAGTAATAATAATAATAATAATAATAATAATAATAATAATATTAATAATAATAATAATAATAATGATAATAATAGTTATATTTTATTAAACTTTAAAAATATGTCCATAATTTACAGAAACATTTGAAGAATTAAGCACTCTATTAAGAAAAAATAATGAAAAAATACAGTTACTGTGTCAATAACGATTTCCCAAATACATTCCTAGTGGCTAAGATGCAATCAGTAGTTCTTGAAGGGAGTCAGGGGTTTTAAATCAAGTCATAACAGAAGAATTATTATCTGTTTCTGATAATAAAAGAAACAAGTGAGTTCTCATATTCCTAACAAAACAAAGATTCATTTGGGCAGGCTCTAATATTTTCGATCTGTAAATCAAAATCTATCTGTCGTCTCGTGGATCTTGAGCCTCTCAACCTCTTAAGCATAGGATCGCAGGGCGTAAGATGGCGAAAGACACTTTAGCTCTTATCCACGAAATTGCGCTTGAGCAACTTTCTCCATTCTTATTTGCAACCAGCTCCGCAAGTCCGCTGTGGTATTTGACACACTCATCCGCGATTCCACCTGTGGTCGGGAAAACTAGGGAAGTGAATTTCCCCTGTTCGATCTCCATTACTCTTTCTGTATACTACCTACTTCAAA